CTAGCTTGAAGTTAAGTAGAATTTTTCTAAGAATGTAGGCACCTGCAAAGATGGAACTGATGATAATTTTTTATAGACAACAACGCATTTCTTAGGGTCAGTATCTGCAAAAACGGATAAGTGCCATAAAGAAGAGATGAAGAAAAAAATGTTTGCTGCGCCGACGACGATTGTGTCACCTAGACTACCATGTAAGTAGAACGATTGTTTAAATCATGAAAGGCAATCAGTAAAAAATCTAATGAATTTTCTTTGTGTCGCTTTAAAAGTGCATAACTCTGGACAATTTTACTATCAATTCTCCATATTTCTAAACATATCTTTCCAACCTGTTCTTGTGGATATTATTTTTAAATGTAACCGACTATATTCTGCTCTTAGTAGACTACTATTAATCCTGGAATTTAAAAAATATTGCTGCAATTAATTGTTGACAACATTTTAGTACGTGGTAAGTAGAAGTGCGTTGATACAAGGCTCGATAAGAGTGTGACCTGTATAGTGCGGCATCAAAACCCACGAAGATTTTAGTATAGAGTTAAAGTAGTTATTGACGTCTTGAAAAAAACAATACCGTTTAAAGAAATTATTTCCATCTGTTTTTATAAAAGAGACTGTCATTTAGTTTAAAAATGCACCTCTGCGGAGCGCGACGTTTTGTTCCTTTTACTTCCACAGATACGTCGACTACACACTAATCGGGTAATTATTCTTTAAGTCCTTTACTAATGAGGTACTACCTTAAGGAAATTAGTCCATTGATGGATGTGTAAAACAAGCTTTGTCAAAACGAACACGAAATGGAATTTAAAACAAACATAGACGGTTAGATTTATTGGTATTAACAAATTTTCCGACAATAAACTCCTATTTACTGAGCTTGATACATGGAATGGCATGCTCCATTTCCCAGAAACTAGTAAATTTAAGCAACGGCCGTAAACCCTTACTTTATTTCTGTCCAAAACGCAGTCATTCATATTTTATCTTCCAACCAATGACGGTTTCATACTAATTTTGCTTCCCGTCCCCGAATTCTCACTTTTCCCCGTTCCTGCCAACCGGACGTAATGGATGGCCGCCTGGGTCGTTTCGAGTCATTTGCGAGCGCTTTACGTTTGTTTGTCTGAGAATTAATTGCGTTTGAATGTGCCTCTGTAAATGGAGAAGGATATTGACATATGCACGACCGGCTTCGAAGAAACTAGTCTTAGTCTGCTATTGTCCGCAGTAAATTACATTCTAACTCGTCGTGAAGATGTCTTTGATTCTAGCTGCAATCAGCAATTTTAATTCGAAAAAATACAAAGCATTCTTTAGCACACGGACAACGGGTCATTAGGCTGCATTAATATCCGATATTGGTTCCTCTGAATGCATAAAATGATGCAGACATCTGTACTTTGTCAGAGGGGACGTTAAACTTATTTAAGTCTCAGATTCCCTTCCAGCAAAGACTGCTAACCTAGGATCTGCCTTTTGTAGTTTCTCCTATGTTCCTTATCGTACTACTTCCTGAATAGACGCGCGTTTGTATACGTTAGGATTCAAGGTCCAAGTATTTTGTGTGTATTAACCATCCCCAAAAGAAGCCAAAGGAGAAAAGGCGATTTAATGGGCCAAGTTGTGTGTAACCTGACTTTTCGGAAACTCGACCATTTCTATCTTTAGAGTAATGCGCTAGCTTTTTCTGCCGCATTGGTTCGTTGGGCCTTACCGTCTGCCTTGAATATATGTGTATATATGCATATGATGGAATACTGACAAAGACGAGGGAGGTCGGGAGGACCTTTTCTAGCTCATTAGCCGTCATCACCCAGCCATACTCAATAACAAGTGTGAGGCATCTGGGATTTGAACCGATGATCTTTGATCATTAAGTCGAACGCTCTACCAATGAGCCACGGACTCCCTGTCCTGTCGGTTATGATCAGGAATATGCCACCATATGCAGACGTTACTAGTCGCTATGCGAATGCCTGCGAGGGTTCGAGATTGAGCCCCAAGGCACAACAGGACGAGCATATCCCGTAACTTGATAAGGGAGCGCCACTTAATTATAATATATATAAATGCATGTGGAGATCTAATACAGAGAGCGCTTTGAGTCCCGGTGACGAGCCGGACGCCACGAAACCGCCATAGAGCGACGTGAAATCAGTAAAATATGTTTCTGGACTTCTAGCTAGTACCCGTGCTGACTTTATGGCCTATCAGTCAAGATGTATATGCTCCTGATTGACTTTGGGCATAGTGGGAGTACTACACGTTATTCCACTGAAAGTGATAGATTTCAACTCAAATATTCATACTTGCTTTCGGATCAAATTGAACAAAGTAGTGCATTAATTTGAGCAATCGGACTTATGAAGCGGTCTATCTTCCATAATTGTGGAGGAGCGGGAAAACAATACGAAATACTGAACGACCCGGTCGTATAGCTGTCGTGCGTATGTGATTGATTGGAAACTCTGTCGCCGAACACCCGCCTTTAGTTTCAGTTTGCGGCAGCCGCTGGCATTTTAGACTAGAAATTAATTGCTCAGTCTAATGGCCTGAATCTGATACATGGTAGGTCGGATCATATTCAAAAATACCATATGACCAACGGGTCTTACATAGGATTCCCCTAAAGGTGAACAAGGAAGCGGAGACTCTTGAAAGCTTGGGGGTATTCGTCCGTTGCGGTTTTTTGGGCAGCTATGGAATTTCTCATACTCGTCCCGATGGGCCACTGCAGGGCGATTTCGTGCTCTCCGATGTAAGCTTTGACACAGTCGCATTTATACTCTATTAGATAGCTGCTTCGTACTGCTATCCTCCCTGGTTTTCTCGAAAATAAATACGTAAATTTAGAAGTGATCCTTTGTAATGAAACCTTTTTTAAGCTAGCCCCGAAAATGATTATGCATATCTGAGCTGATATTCATCAGCCGCTGGAGAATTATCACATAATCTTCATTTTCTATCAAGAGGCAGCTAGTAGAGCGCAAATACTGAATAATTCACTACAATAAGAGAACAGGCACTAGTTGAAAGCCCACACACGCGTTTTTCGCAGAATTTTGAGAAAACAAAAAGGGGCGGAATGGAAAACAGAGTTCATTTATCAGAAAACACAGGGAAACGCTGGGCGGGGGAGTGGGACACTGATGAGCCGGACCCCTCGCGACTCCGTCATACAGCGGCACAAGGTCAGCGAAACAAGTGCGCCTAGACTTCTAGCTAGTAACCTTGCTGTCATTATAAAAAATGTTTTGGAATGTTTACTGCGCTTGGTAGCCCTCTATATATTGTGGTGAGAGAACTGCCGATGAGGTTTGGTGCGACAAAAAGCCACGGAAAGGGAAGTCCTCTCCCTCCTCACCACCCGCCTCTTCTATTATAAGTTGACTATCACGAAAGGTGTCGTTGAACAGTTCATGAAAGTTTCGTAAGGCGCTTGTCTCGATTATGACAAAGGTGTCATGAACACACCATAACCAAAATATAGGTTTTAAGTGATTATAGTCGATATTTGACGTCGCTTTTAAGGTGCTACGGTTTGATGGTCATGAGAGATCACATGCACCACGTGATCAGGTGAGTTGGGGCAGCATTGGTGGCCTGTGCATGAACTAGTTTATAGTGAGATAGGCTTGTGCAGTAGCTTGTTCCGGTGGCGGCGTGGGGGCTGATAAAGTTAAGTAGTTCGGCTGCGCGTGCACCATATCGAATGTACTCCAACCTCAAATACCGGTCTTCTGTATGACAAGCCTGGACGTCACATCGGTGAGAGTGCCATTAAGGCCACCTCGAAAAGAAGTCATCGCAGTCTGACTCTCTGCCCGTCTTTCTAGTCTCGACTGTTAACGCGTCCTGATAGATTGGGACGCGTCAAAGTTACTATGGCTGTAATTGCGCTGATTTGTCGTGGGGATGGATTAACTAGTGTCGGCCCAACTCCCTCCTCCTCCTCCTCCTCCCCCATGCAACAATCCACCGTCGGAGACTCCCATTCAACTGGTAGAGAAACTGAAAGTAATGGTCCGATAGAGACCGTAGGACCAGAGATGAGCCTGGCCACGCAGGTCCAACAGACGAAGTCCTCGAAGGATAGCTAGAAAGAGCCGGCACGAAGCACCTGTTTACCAACGCACTCAAGACTGCGGACACGGTTCTGTTTTAGGGTAACAACTGGTCAGTCCATTTTATGACGGTCGGCGGTTACGTTGGCTCTTTTTCAAATGCGACGGCTGTGACTGGGTTGAAGGTCACGCTAGTGTTAGATCACAGCGGGGTCAGAATCCATCAGAAACGGACGGCCAGGCCCAGGTTCATGGGTTGGGTACGATGGTGACAGAAGGCAAATGGGGAGGACAGACATCAAGATCATCAGAATCAGTTAGTTCATCAAACGGATGATAGTAGTGGGAAAGTTTCCGAAACGCCTATATAAGTGCAAGTTCATCTATGGACTCACCTCCTCATTCCCTCTTTTTCCTTTCATTAGTTTCCATCGACAGTCAATGCGATACGAAAATCTTCCATAGCCTTATCGATGGAGGATCCCCCCATAATGACAAACATCCTCAATCACAACTGATAAAGCATCTGGTCTATAGTTTAATGGTAGAGCGTTGAACTTTGTACTCAACGGCCCAGGAACTTCGGTTCGAATCCCGGGTCATCCAGACCTGGAGCGGGGACATTGCTGACCGACCACAGTCGGCAAGACAAAAATGGGCACTCCAGTCTCCTCTGTTTTCGTCAACACTCAGAGAAATCTCATCTCCGTCATTCTACCAGCCCGTCTCCTGAGCGTGTGCCTACCAATGCTTTTATCGCTCTAGTTGGCAATTGTTGCTTCGCAAGTTAAACGACTCTATTTCACTTGTATTCATCACGACTGCTTATGCCAGCAAACCCCTTCATTATATTCCAAACGCGTTGATCTGGAGTCGGCCGGTCGACTTCAGCTCGGAATCAGACGTGCCTAGACATTCATCGTCGTTTGTGTGCTACGGTCCCTCGCGTAATGCAATATTCATACCACATGACTTATCATCATCATCATCATCATCATCATCATCATCATCATCATCATCATCATCATCATCATCATCATCATCATCATCATCATCATCATCATCATCATCATCATCATCATCATCATCATCATCATCATCATCATCATCATCATCATCATCATCATCATCACCACCACCACCACCACCACCACCACCACCACGACCACCACCACCAGCACCACCACAACAACCACAACCAACAATATTATCATCTTGAAGAAGGAGACACAATCGCCGGGACAAGAGATTTATCAGCCTGACGTTTCGGATTCCTACTCGAATCCATCATCAGAGCCAAAATAGCAGAAACGGGTGGTTGCTGCACAAGGGGCTGCGGTATTTATAGGATGCCGTAGCCATGCTACCTCATACCTATGAACATTCACGGCTCCCCCCCTCATCCGGGATCGTCGCACTTGGTGTGATAACTGCTCGATGGCCGACATTCGAGTCGATAATTGCTGCAATTTCATCACGTGCGTTAGATGTTGGCGTGATGATTGCTCGACCATGTGACGCACAGACCCAGGTGTTGGGAAAAGTGTTCACCTCTGCGCTCCCCGCATGGCTTGTTACTCCGCCTAGGCGAAGTTTTAGCACGCAGTATGGAGTGGGAAGATGGTTGCACTTGTTGAGGGACTGGGGGCCAGTAAACCATGATTCCAGTAGCTCCCGGCTCACGTGGTTGTCACCTCTTGCGAGAATTTCGGCCTCATCGAATTTGAATGTGTGGCCGGATCTCGTCGAATGAGCCGCAACTTGGGAGCTGGCGTCATTTCTGCGCACCGCTGCCGCGTGTTCGGCCATTCTCGTTCGGAACTGTCTTCCGGTTTCTCCGACGTAGTTGCTTTGTCCGCAACTGCACCAGATCCGATAAACGACTCCAGATGTTTCTAGCCGTGGCAGTGGGTCTTTCGGTTTTATTACCAGACGCCTGATGGTTGCCCCGGTCTGTGTGCAACTCCAACTCCAAGTGGTGCGAGAAGGCGGCCGACAGCCTCCGAAACGTTCTTGACATACGGAAGCGCCCGCCAAGATTTGGTATCCATGCTGTTAGGTCTTTCGTCCCTTTTGCGTATGCACCGGTTGACAAAGTTGCGCGGGTAGTCATTGGCTTTGAATACCCGTTGGAGGTATTGTATTTCGGCAGTCTGGTCTTCCGGCTCACTGCAGTGCGTTTCGACACGCCGATAGAGCGTCCTTACACAACTGCGTTTGTGACTGATTGGGTGGTTGCTGTTGAAGTTCAGTACTTGCATCGTATTTGTCGCTTTCCTGAACACTTTGATTTTTAGCTCACCACAATCTTTGCGGCATACGAGGACATCCAGGAAGGCCAGCTGGTTGTTCTCTTCCTCCTCCATCGTAAACTGAATGTCCGGGAAGACGGCGTTAAGATGTTCTTGAAATGTCAACACCTGATCCCGTTCGATGACGACGAAGGTGTCATCCACGGAGTGTATTTTTTCATGCAGCCGGAAGAAAGTTCATTCGAAAGCCGGCATCCTGAGGTAGCTGAAATATTATAGAATTATGTTGCAGACTGAATAGCTTTACAACCCTACTTAATGAATCTTTTCGAAACGAAAACGCATTTCGGAATTTCGGTTAACGTTTCATGAGTTAGCCCACCTACTGTAATGAAGTCGAAAAAGGAAGAAAAGTGTTTTCTTCTCTTGAACGACTTTAAACACCGTCATAATGCTTCCCAAATTGCCGCTTATGTCAAAGGAGCTTAGGGAAGTGAGTTTACAAGCGATCGCACAGTACAAAGGTGCTTTCAGAAATTCCAAAGTGTCAATGGAAGACTTGGAGGTGGAGAAGCTGAAGAACGGCCATACCCTCGTTGAAGAAAACTCACAGCAAAGTGTCAGAGAAACGGCTCAGGCCCTTGACGTCAGCAATTCAACGATGTTCGACTGTTTGATGCAAACTGCTAATGTGAAAAATGCTTGATTAACGGGCACCACACGATCTCGACGGAAATATAAGAGTTTATCGGTTTGAAGTGTGACCGATGTTACCTCTGCAATAACTCCATTGATCGATTTTTTTGATCGAAAAGTGACGTGTGACGAAACGTGGATCCTTTATGATAACCGCAAGCGATTTTGACGAAGCATCCGGACCCTTCCCGAAACCGAAGTTTGCATCAGGAGAAAAGAATCGTGACAGTCTAGTGGTCTGTTAGTGATCTCGCCTATTACAGCTTTTTCGAGACTAATAGGAACATCACAGCAGAGGTTAACTGCAACCAGTTCGAAGAAATGCATCTCCACCTGGAAGAAATGAGGCCTGCACTAGTGCATCGAGGTGACCCAACTCTGCACCACAACGAAGCCCACATTTTGCCAGGAAGACATTGCGGTAACTCAATGACTTGGTATAAACGACTTTGCCACATCCTTCATATTTTCCTGATCTTCCACTCACCGACTACCATCTTTTGAAGCATTTAGACGCTTTTTTGAGCAATAGAACTTTCAAGAATAAAACTGACATGGGACCTGAATTGAAAGATTTCTTACCATCAAGGTCAGTGGATTTTATCGATGGGGCCTAAATTGTCTTGTTCACCGATGGCAGAGACGCACAGATGTTCAGCGATCACACTGTGTCTTGCGTTTTCCAAGAATAAACGTTTCTTTCTGAAATCGGCCAGTATTTTCCACACAAAACTGACGATTGTCTTAAGACTGTAGGATTTATTCTGAGCTTCTGCTTCGTACCTCGCCTTGCTGCAAAGTCACTTAAAAGAACCGGCACACCTTAACGATTTTTAAGGATGTTCGTCGTGTCTAGTAGTATTCGCTTTGCCACAGGCTTGGCAAAGGCAGGGGTTTGTCGGCAATCTGATGTCTGATTAGAGCTGGGCATTTCCGCAAACAATTTTCCTTAGCGATCCTCTCATCCTTTCTGGGCAAAAGGAGCTAAAAGCTATGCTATTCCACAACAACGGCCCGAAATAATCTCTCCTGATTTTAAAACGGAAGAAGGATGTCTTGAAGAAGGAGACACGATCGCTGGGACAAGAGCTTTATTAGCCTGACGTTTCGGATTCCTGCTCGAACCCATAATCAGAGACAACAGCAGATACGCTCTTGTCCCAGCGATCGTGTCTCCTTCTTCAAGACTGCTTCCTGGGACTCGTCTCTTCGCTTCTATTGGAAGAAGGATGTGCCTGCATATGTCTTAAGGCCTTTGCTAAGAGAATGCTTGGCTGAAGTTGTCAATGACATTCCCAGTCTTTCTAACCCCTTCCATATTTTTGGCTTCTTGCTGAGTGCTAAGTTATTTGTTCCTGACAATGCCACCTGTGTTCCACTCTTGTCAAGACCCCTATATATGGGGTTCTTAGGATTGAAGTTAAAACAGACCACAGAGCGCTACCAGTAGGGAGCTGGATTTATTCTGCATGTTTCCATACAATCAACTCATAAAGAGGTGGCAACACCGTCTTCCGTTTCCGCGTGCTTCTGGGGATGATTTTTGCGTCCAGAGGGCAGAAACAATACAGTGTACCAAACTGAAAGAACGTTCAAATGAGGAAAATAAATCCACACTTGGCCACACAACGGCTTGAAGTTCGAACGGGTCTTTTGTGACTGCGTTGAGTAGTGTTTATGTCAAAGGAAAAGACCCCTCGCGTTACTTCCCCCTATCCACCGTGACGGTAGCGAAAACTTGAAAATGATCGACAGAAATGAGGCTTCTTCATCGGTCATTGGCTGAACTAAACCCCACCAGCTCCAATAACGGGAGGATTATTTTCCTTCATAGGGTAGAGTAAGTAAGCTTTCTCGCTCTTCACGCGCAGTCTCCTCAAGGAGCCTTCAGTCGCCTTGCCATTGCCCTAGTCCAGGCTTCCACTGTCGTCAAGTTCCTTGGAATTGGAGTCATAAGATTCGGTGGTCATACTGATTGGAAGAGTCCAGTCACCCTCCTCGCATCTGTTACGAGGTGGGGTTCCGCTGACGCCCAGTGGTTGCTGCGACGACGTCGCAGCTGCCGCCGCCGCCGCAACAGGAGCTGAACCCTCAGTGGGGTCTGTGCATGGATATATCCTGCCCAGATCGATTCCCGCGTGGACATCCGCTGTCCCCAAAACTGCAGGCATAGCGTTCGGTATCTGCGGATAGGGCCAGAAGGTCTGCAATGGCCAGAACATATCTGGCGTTTGGTAGTCCGCCTTGGCAACAGCCTCTGACGTCCTCGGAGGAGGAGGCGGTGCGTCGTTGCCCATACTCACATCTGCTTCCAACTGACCACATTCGAGCGGTTTGCTGGGGAAGAGGACGTCTGCGGAGGGGCAACAACCCTCCCCCTGGAGGTCACTGTTCTGCAGACTCAGCTGACGATAGTAGGCCGCTGAAGCGGGCGCATAGTAGGGCAACAAGGCCTCCTGCCATGTGCCTCCAGCCGGCGCAGTGGGCAGTCGAACCGGACAGGACTCCGAGTTCGCCGCCTTCTCTCCACTCTGATCAACGGGCTTCTGGTCGGGTGAGAGCATCTCGCCTAGCGGCATGTTCGGTGGACAGAGAGCACACAGCAGCGCCGGCGGCGTCTGTTGGTGGGCGGGCGAGGGCATGGGTTGAAGGGTGGGCGGAGTCCTGTTCGTATCCGGAAGCAGGGGCAGGGGTCTGAACCAGACGGGTGGCAGGCAGTTGTAGATCGCAGGTGACGGTTGCAACTGAGGATTGATGGAAGGCGGTAGTAGACCAGCTGTCTGGTCGTAGTGGGACCACATAGCAGCGCCGGTGCCAGACACAATCTTCTCGGCAGTGGCAGTGTCAAAGCCACTGAAAGACGCCGTCCCCACCGGCTCGGGTAAGGCGTTCGTAACAGTCGGAGTTGTCAACTCCAGTGGAAAGTTTACCAAACCGGCTGCGGTCGGCCCGCTTGAGGACGGCATGAGAGTGGGGCAGGGCAGGAAGTCCTTGGTCGCCGGAACCGTCTGGACTGCCGGAGGAGGGCAGAAGTTCATTATCCCCGGCGTTGGCTGATTCAGGGGAAAAAAGTATGGTGCGGTTGTTGGCGAGGCGGGAGCGAAATTGAAGGCCGGCTGACTAACAGCAACTTCTCCGAGCGTACTCGGCAGAAACAGAGGGTTGACGTAGTTCTGCACCTGCGGAGGGTCGGATATGCCGTGAGGGAGCGACTCCACGCCCATTGTGCCATCCACAGGAAGGATGCCGTTCAGTGGGTAGGTTAGAGCTTGATTCCCTGGCTCTAAGGGGACCGACGTCATGGCGAGAGGATGCGGATGCTGACTGTAGGTGGCTGTCTTTGCGTACGAAGGGAAGCAGGAGGTGCCGCTTGGGGACGCCTGGGGAACGGAATTCACACCCTGATCTCTTCCGATGGTCTGCAGAAATTCTGGCCGTAAGAGGCCACACACCGATTTAGGCCAGTGCAATTCGTGACGAAACTGAACTTTATAGGCAACTCGCCATGCTAGCCTACCTGAAAATAGATGAAAGGGACCAATTTTACTGGACGGAAAGAATGAATTTTGTGAGTTAATGGTCTTCTTTCCCCTGTAGAGCAGTACCTCTTTGCAGAAAGTCGTCAATCACGAACCAGAACTCATTTCGACTGCTTTTAAATTGCACACGGATAAAAAACACTCTCTACTCCACAAATACGCTTCAAAGAGATACTTTAGCATCCACTGTAAAGGAGGGTAAATTAAACTCGCAGGAGGTTGAATAGCGAGCAAGTAATATCGGAGAACTCTGCTGATACCAGTATGAGCGGGCTTTTTTTGGTGGAATATGTCAGTTTAACCGTCGTTGCCGACGATGTCCACCGTGTGCTCCGCAGTCGGGTGGGAGCAGGAACGATGATCTGCGTGTGAATTAGTTTATAGTGGTAGTGGACTTGCACAGCATCTAACGCACTCTCTCCTCTCACTCTCCGCACGAACCTGGCATCAAGACATAGGCAGTAAGACCAGAGGTTGGAGACGGCGCAGGTGGCTGGCGCGGCCGGAGCCATCCCTAGGCATGCCAATACACATGCCTTGGATCCTACGAAGTGAGAGTATCATTGAGGCCACCTTATGAAGGAGCGGGATACTGTCACAATGCGTTGAAAGTTGACTGGGTACTTCTGTCCTCGTGGCCAGTACTGTGTGTGTGTGTGTTTGTTTGTTTGTTGGTGTTGGTAAAAATCCTGGTCATTTGTTGTGTGGGCCAGGGGGTGTGGTGGAACGCCAAGGTGAGTATCCGTCCGAGCCACCCACCTGCGGCCTCCCTCGTCTCCGGTCTTCTTGACTCTGTCTTGACACCGGACACAGGCGGGGGAGGAGGAGAGAGTGTAGTAAATGCAGCGCAAGTCTAATGGCACTATAAACCCCTGCACA